TGCTCCTTTTGGCTCATATTCTTTGCTCCTTTTGGCTCGTGTTTTTTTGCTCCTCTTGACTCATGTTTTTGCTCCTTTTTAGCTCGTGATTTGCTCCTTTGGGCTTGTGTTGTTTGCTCCTCTTGACTTGTGTTTTTTGCTGCTTTTAGGTCGTGATTTGCTCCTTTCGGCTCATATTCTTTGCTCCTTTTGGTTTGTGTTTTTTTTGCTCCTTTTAGCTTGTGATTGATTCATGCTCCTTTCAGTTTTAAATACTTAGATTTAGCTTCATAAGCAAATTTCAGTAAAGTAATTTAGCGCTCAGTGTTCATGCTGCATTTTCAAATAAAATGTGATTCACCGGCAGCTTGTTTGTTTTTGTTGTGCGTCTGTTTTTCATGTGTGCACCAGGACCGGACCGGCTCATGTTTGACTTTTTGTGACTTTTAAAAGTTTTCCTATAATTTACAATTTACATCTCTGTTACACGAGTTGAGAGAAATATTTTAGCTCCATCAGAATAGTTTATGAAGCTCATGTTGTCCACTTATAAACTTTTTAAACAAAGATTTAGTTGTAAATGTCATATAACACTTTTCTTTCTGACTTTGTTGTTGAACTGGACTCTGACATTTGAGCTAAATAATAAAGTAAATCTGAGCAGTCAAAGGTTTGAAGTCGGTGTGGAGGTTGAATCTACCGGTAGTCCCATTTCTACAATCTTCCTTGTTTACAGACTCGTCATGCGGGGCGGGGGCCTCCTTGTCGGCTGTGATCTCCTGCAAATATAATGACATGGCCTGGGGGGCTTTAATTTGCGGAGCCGTCATGCCAGAACAGATGTATGCAGTCGAAGCTTGGAGAGAGGCCCGGCTGCTCTCAGAACATTGTTTTTTCCTGAAGTTTCGTCCCCGTCTTGTTTAAGAGACAAATATTAAATCTAAAGAGGATGTTTCAGTTTAATAAACTAATTGTTGATAGAACGAGAAGAGGAAGTTGTTGCTGGAGGTCTCTGGGCTGTGATGTGAAAAGCCGGCGGCTCAAAACGCAGCTCGCTTGCAGCTCATAGTCACAAACGGTCAAAAACCAGAGACGCTGCAACAGAAAATCTATTTACTTTCTCTAAATTTTCGGTCTCTAACAGTGAGATACCAGCCTCAGATCACGGGACATCAGGAGTGTCCAAATACCTTTTTTTTTTTTTTTTTTTGTTTTGTTTGTGAGCTCAGTTTAAGTGTAGAAACATTGTGAAGTGTTTCAATGAACTTATCATCATCGCTCCATTTTTTTTTTTTTTTTTTTTTTTTAAAGAAAGAGAAGAAAGAAGAATAAATAAATAATAAAAAAGAAGAAGATAAGACGAGAGACCACCACGACAAAACAACATGCACAGCACAATGCCACCCACAATATCACCATGAAACATTCGACATGGCACAAGGAATCATATAGCTTCCACCACTACCCAACCTAGCGTGCATCTGTCAAAGCACCTGAATCCAAACACCCGCGCAAGCACGCCCACCACCACCAGATTTCTCCAAAAGAATGCCCAATAGTGGACGCGGGGGCCCACAGACCCGCCCCCCCAGGACACAATGGCAACATAGGGAGGACCGGAGCCACAGACACACAGCGGCCCACAGGCCCGGAGCCCCAAGAGTCTCCCAACAGGGAGAACCGCACCCCCCCAGAGAGGAGCAGAGGAAAGAACCGGGTGACCCCAGCCACCACAATGCAGAGCCTCCAGGAAGCTGCAACGACGAGCCCACAGGCCCGGCCAGCGACCCATGCCCCCCCCCAAGTAGATCCGGCCATGGACACCGAGCCCCAAGCCCCGAGGCCATACCACCCCCCAGCAGAGCCCCGACAGAGCCAGGGCACCCAGGCCCCGCCAGGCAGCAACCAGGGCGGACCGACGTGCACCCCACCACCCAGCCCAGACACCGAGAGCCACCAATGCACCGGCGGCAAGGGAGTCCCCCGCCAAAGGGGGGCACGACCGGGGGGAGTGGGCCCCACACCAAACGTGGGGCCCAAATTGATCCAAGAGAGGGGGGACCACCAAAAACCCAACCTGAGCAACCAACAGGCACACACAGATAGCCCGACAGAATCTCTGTCGGGCCAACCGCATGCACCATCTACCTGACAGCGACCACAGGCCGGCCCCAGCCCAAGGGGCAGAGCAGCAGGGAGCTGCAGCCGAGGAGGGCCGGCTCTCACATCAAGAGCTCCGCACCATAGGCCCGGAGACGCCCCAGCACGCCACCCATGCACTCCCCCACACACACAGCACCCCCACTGCAAATGCCACACAGGAAGACCAGCCAGTGCCTGGATGAGGCGAAGCCACGCCCCCAACCGCCGCCCTACACCACCAATGACCACACGTACACTACCATAGCCGACCCCCGCCGAAAGCCGGCAGCCACCCCGGTCAGAGTGCCGGCTATCGCAACCAGGAACCTAGATTAAAAGAATCGGAACAGCCCAGGAGGAACCGAAGCACCGGCCCCAACACTGACCGCCCCCAAGGCCCAAAGCCCACCCACAGCCCAGACCCCA